GGGGAGAATCCCTCATTTGAATGTTACGCTTCTTAATCGTTCAAGAGAGAAGTTTGCAACTCTTTTTCTCCAGTTTCCTAAATTTCTATTTTTGTTAGGATTTGCTGTGGCCATCACCTTTTTCCCCTTATCATTCTCATTTCTTTTGTTCAAAGAGAAAATGAATAGTGCTTTTTCTAACTCCGATAGAGCTGTCGGTGCTCCGATGGCGGAAACTGATGTACCTCTAATCGAAGAGGGGGTGGAGATAGTGGAGGATGTGGGCTTTCCGACAATGGATGAGGTGGTCCCCCACCTGGGTAAGGCGAGGAATAACTTTAATATCCCTACCGGAGACAAGCCGAAGCCCGTTCCTTCTACGATGGGTGATGCAGTGCTCACGGCATTCAAAGCCAAACGGGGGATTCCTGATTATATTGAAATGGTGTCGATGGATCGGGACATAGTGCATTTACAATGCCCAGGCTATTGCGTGTTTTATGTGTATCCCTTTATCATCGAGTATACACTTCCCCTCCTTTCCTTGGTAGTGGATTTCTACTGCTTCTATGAGGTGTGCCCGGCTCAACTCTCTCCGTACGCGTACAAGCTTTTCCTTATGCTTATCAAGTATGCGGAGCTGGTCGGCCGAGGAATCTCTCTAGGGGACATGCTTCACCTCTTCGCCCCCTATTTTCTTCGGGGTATCATGATTGACATGCGTCACCGAGGAACCAAGAGTTTGGTGGTGAAAATGGACGACAAGGCAAATCTCCGCTTTTGGGAGATCTTCTTCTACATCCGAACAGAGCACATCGTGTCGAACCCGGTGAGGTTTCCTGAGACATGGAATTTTGATCGTAGGTTTTCTTTTTACTTTATGCAATTTCTCTTAAGATGGTCATCGGTCGTCTCCCTTTAATGACCTTGCTGAGGGTTTGTTTATGTTCTTGTAGCCAAGAGAGTACCTCCTCCACCAGTTGCTGATATTCGCGAGCGAGTGAGGACGATTCTTCCCCAGACAATGGGGATTCGTGAATGGGTGCCTTTCCACGAGAAGTTCGGGGCGCGAGCCTCTTGCTGGTGAGTTGGCTTGTTGTGGCCCGTTACTTTGTTATTTGCTCCGTATTTTCTTTTACCTTATTACTGCTTGATTAAATCTCCTCATTGGTAGGTCGGAGAGGGGTGAGAAGGACAAGGGCGCTTGCGCTCTCTTTTCGCCAGTCGGCTTCCTCTGTCCCGACCCATTCGAAGGGCACATGTGTATGAGAGCACCCAATATGTGGTTTCACGGTAGACCATGTCGACGACCGAGCATGTTCGTTTGGAGGTTGCTCCCCCGGTCAGATACTCTGGTTCTTGTCGTCCGTTCAACGGGCGAGCCTTCTTGCAATAGTAACGAGGAGGCACCGTAAAAAAGGCGAAGGTTGTCAGAGGGGGCATCTTTGGTTAAGACGCCCTCGAGGGGCGACCCTACTTTGGCAGTATCTGGAGCTGGCGGTGACGCTGGTCGGGGTGTGGAGGCGATGCCTATTCCGGTTGCAGAGGAGACCATCGTGGCGGGGGGACAGAATTTGGGGTCTGCCGCGACTGTTTCGAGCGGCCCATCATCATCCCGAGAGACCCGCTCCCCTTTTTCGGCAAATGAGATGGGGAATGCCTTGGTGATAGATGATTATGAGTCGGATTCCGACATCGACCCTGAGGATATGAGGATGTTCGAGGAAGGCTTTACTAGGGTCAATGTAAGGGCGGAAGGTCCTTCTCGTGTGCTCGAGATTCCATCTGATTTTAATTTTTTGGAGGACACAGTGGAGTTGGTACCTCAATTCGGCCTTCTATGTTCTTCCGCCGAAAGTGAGTCTCTTCGGGAGATCAATGACTCTGCTTTGTCACAAGTTGTGGCCGGGATGGCCTTGAGGGTGAGTTTCTTTTTGCCATTTTCATTATTTTGTGCTATTTTGCCTCCGTTGATGTCTCCCCTCTTTTTTTTTTCTGCTCCTTGTTTGCAGACTTAAATGCTGGAGACTGAGAGTGCTCGCAGGGCTGAGATTAGCGTCAAAGTCTTTTTGAAAATGGCCGTAAAGTATCGCTGGTACCGTGACAAGTGCCGTGAAATGCATGCGCAGCTTAGGGCGGGTGGTAACACTCAGTCCGTTAGGGAAGAATTGGAGAAAAGGGACGAGGAACTGATGTGGTCTATCCACTGATGCAGCGAGCTCGAGGAGTTACTCCATGCCAAAGATGAGGAGCTCGAAGTGGGAAAAAGGGTTGTGGTGGAGTGTGAAGACCTTCAGGTGAAGGTACTGTCTTTGCAAGGCGAGCTTTAACAAAACGCCACCAGGGTCATCGATTTGAGTGCAGAATGGACGGAGAAGGTGGCCGAACTAGAAAAGAAGGTGACCGAGTTGGAAGGAGCCGAGGGGGCTCAGGTGTCGGCTATAGCGAGGGCGGGGATGCTAGAAGACACTATCCACGTCCTCAGGTCTGAGCAGGAATCTGAGAGGGAAACGTCCACACTGATGGAGTTGCGGCTCGAGGAGCGCATTGGTGAAATTTATTGGGAAGCTTCAAAGCTAGGAGACCGGGTCGTGTCTCTTGAGGCCGAGAAGGCCAACTGTTGGCCCAGGCTATCCCTCAAGAGTCTTCATCTGCTACTGTTCTCTGCCACTTGTACGAGATATGGGTCCATGTTGAGGCCCAACGAGATATATACAAGGGTTTGTGGGAAGCGGGGAGTGTTCCTGAAGCCGCTTTCGAAGATTCTCGAGTGAAGGCACGCGAGGCTCGTCTTGCCTGCGGCTACGACCCTGCGACACCGGAGGCTGATGAGGATGTTGATATGGAAGATGGACTTCCTTCCAACGACGACACTGGGGAGAATGGTGGTGGAGATGATGCCGAGTGAAAAAGATTTCTTACAGCTTTTGTACTTAGTTTTTTTTTCTTGTTTGTTTTCATCTTTTTCTTCGGGGCCCGCTTTTGGCCTTTGTAAGGCGCAGATGTTGCTTATGTACATTTTATGAATAAAATAGTCGCTTTGCCTTGGGTTATGGACCTTTTGACCTTCTTTCTCCCTCCTCCCCCCCCCCCCCCCCCCCCCCCCTTTTTTGAAAAAGATCTTTAGACTTCCCCGCATTGAGTCCCTGATTTTTACTCGGGGTTGGAATGAGGTCAAGCTTGGAGCGATTCGAGCAAGATTGAATGTGAAGTAATTCGAGCAAGGTCGAATGTAAATTAATTCGAGCGAGGTCGAATGTAAAGTAATTTGAGCTAGGTCGAATGTAAAGTAATTTGAGCGAGGTCGAATGTAAAGTAATTCGAACGAGGTCGAATGTGGAGTAATTCGAGCGAGGTCAAATGTAAAGTAATTCGAGTTAGGTCGAATGTAAAATAATTCGATCGAGGTCGAATGTAAAATAATTCAAGCGAGGTCAAATATAAAATAATTCTAGCGAGGTCGAATGTAAAGTAATTCGAACGAGGTCGAATGTAAAGTATAAAATGACTTGGTAGGGTTGTGCGAAGATGTTGCTTCGTTTATTTCATTTGATGGAGAATACTACATGTTTCTGCTTGTTTCATTCATACATTGGAGAAGTTCTACTCTACCTATCCCCTTCATCGTTCGGCCTGGAGAAGTAGTCGATAGGCGGGGCAATGAGTTTCACTCGAATTTGGTTCGCTTGATCCGAGTGAACTCGAATCTTGTTTTGTGAGTTCGAATGAAGTCGCTATTGATCTGCAAATTCAAGTGAGGTCGACTTGTGATTTGCCATTTTGGGCGAAATCAGTTTTGACTTATATATTCGAACGAGATCGAATTTTGCTTTCACCGAGCAATGGCCGTAAGGATGTTAAGTCGAGCGAGGTCAACTTCTGATTTGCCATTTTGGGCGAAATCAGTTTTGACTTATATATTCGAGCGAGGTCGAATTTTACTTTCGTCTGGAGATGGCCGTAACGATGTTAAGTCGAGCGAGGTCGAATATGACCCATTTGGCGATTGCCGATGGCTGTAAGGGTATTAATTCGTGCGAGGTCGGATTATAACCCATTTGGTAATGGCCGATGGCCGTAAGGGTGTTAGTTCGAGCAAGGTCGAATTGTAACCCATTCGGCGAGGGCCGATGGCTGTAAGGGTGTTAATTCATGTGAGGTCGAACTATAACCCATTTGGCGATGGCCAATTATGGCCGTAAGGATGTTAATTCGAGCAAAGTCAAATTGTAACCCATTCAGCGAGGGCTGATGGCCGAATTATAACCCATTTGGCGATGGCCAATGGCCGTAAGGGAGTTAATTCTAGTGAAGTCGAATTGTAACCCATTTGGAATTCAAGCGTAGTCGAATTTCCTTTTTACTTGGCGATGGCGCATGCTTGCCTGTTGCATTACTTTTATTGGATAACATCACTCATTGTTGCATTGTTTATGCGTGCGTTGGGGTGAGTTCTTATTTGTTTACTTTTGCTTTTACTGGTTTGTCTACCGATGTAGTTTGTTGGTGATCACCAAATCTCAATAGAAGTCTAATGGAAGTTGGAATGAGAATAAATTTGTCTTTGGTTAAAAAAGCCAAGAAGAAGAAGGCCTCACGATTTCTTTCCGGCAAGGTTCCGATTTAAAGTGGCAATCTTATTCCGGTTTTTTTATTATAAAAAAGAGAGAGAGTACCCTCACGTGCTTATAATTAGTGTAGCGCACACTCTTTGCCATATCACCAGCATGTGCCTAATAAATATACTTAGGCTTAAGTTCATGTGTTCAATAAGTACAAGTGTCTAAATAAAAACTCAAACAAGTTCAAGGGCCGCATATGCACTCAGCCTAATTATTAAACTGAGGTTAAGATTAAAGTCATGTTAATGCTTAAATTTTCTTAACAAATTGAAATTTCTCTAGAGAGGACGTGTCACATTATTAAATCATGTTAAATACATTAAAGCATATATATGTAAAATCCAAACATTATAATAAGAAGAACTTATAAGCACCAAAAATTACTAAGGTTGGAGGCCTTCATGGAATTGAGATTTTGGTGGGCTCGAAAAGTAATTCGGAAATGCGACTTTTAATCTCAGAATTTTGAATTCCATGTCCATCTCCATGTTGGTATATGCACTGTGCAGTTCTTGTAACATTTACTGCACATCCAATCAATGTTTCAGAAAATAACGAGTTTTCATGTAGACCAGTGTTTATCAGTTTCCACATCTCCTTTATCAAATGATTAATGTGTTCTCTTGCCTCTTCTTCAGAAGCATCATTTTCGTTCATGTAACATTGAATTGACTTGGGAACATCACCTCTATTCATTTCATCCTGAAGTAAGAGGAAAAAAATTTCATTAATTTAAAACTATAATAATCTTTTATACAATCAGCTCAATTACAACTTTCTATAGCAAAAATAATTAATAAGTAAAAAATGGTGAGTGAAAGTGAAAGTCGTCTATGTACACCAAAGAAAAACATTTGATTACAAACTTAAATTACGTACGTTCAGAAATAATCAAAGATAAGGTTGAGAAACATAATGATGATGTCCCTAAATCATCGGCAAGACGAATAATTATAGAACAGTGACGAATTATGTCAGGATATTTGCTTAAGGATTCCAATGCCTCTTTCGTAATTGGGTTGGTGACAAAGATGAATGCATGGACTAAATACATAGGGGCTCCAATTGAAATCCATGCAATATCCATGTATTCTTTCAGAGTTGGATTATATCCATTGAAGTGCCACTTTGCTTCTTGAAAGGAAGCTTTGCAATAATCTGCCCACTAATAACGTTGTTCCAAATAAACATATTAATGGTGATGGGGAGGAAGAGAACAGAAGAATGAATAAATTAATTTAGAAATTCAAAGTTAAGCTTAATTACTGATTTTTTAAGGTAGGGTATAACGTTGATCCCTTGCTCTTTGAGAACGTTATATGCAATGTCAGCGACAGTGTTGAAGAGTACAAGGTAACATACTTTCATATAGCCTGGAAGATAGTCAATCGCTTTTAGCTCCATTAGATCTGGAAAATTATTATCGTCAGAAGACATATTCACTTGACAATTAGTTTGATGACGAGAACGGCAATATACAGAAGTAATAAAGGGGAAGTACATATCCTACTAAATAAATTTATATTCTACAAAATTGAAGATATGTGCGTGATCGATGAATTCAAAGCAGAAAAGCCAAATAATCATTTCTTGAAAATTTGAAGGTAATATACTCATCATTTATTCATTATTTGAGACTGACAATCTAAAATTATAAGATTGTACCTTTATACTAAGGCGTGTGCGCGTTCATTGTCACAAAGTACGTAGTAGTGGGGTGATACTTTGTGTTCAATGACTTAAACTTCTAGCTCTGCCTCAGAGAAAATTAATCTACTATCCTTAGTTGCATTATACTAGAGCGGATGTAAATTAAATGACTGAGAAAACACAATGATAATTCTACAGGCAAAAAAATTAGAGATGTAATTGCTTCCTTGAGGCTTGAAGTTATAACTAACCTTTCAACAGCATCAGTGAAGAGTTCCAACTCATCAAGAGAGCCATAGACATCATAAATATCATCTATGACTACAGCAACAGCATTGATCTTTGTAAGCATTCTTCGGCAGTAACTGTATTGAGGTTCAAATATTGTCCCCACTGTCCAAACGAAAGCTTCAACAATTCTATCCCTTGAAAATGGCAACTTTTTTGCAAGGCATGTACTCTTCCACCACTTAACATAAAAATCAATGCAGCACGAGAAATATTATCCAAAAGTCTTTTTCTATTTGATAGCTTACAAGTTGAAATCTCTTTACCTGTATGATAAAACTTTTGCACTATCAATATCACTTATTATGAACAGTTACTTATAATTATATTTTAACTGACCTAATAATCAGTGTATAGAAGTTGGTCTAAAAACACGAGAAGATATTGGTCAAATCTAAAAACAATTGATTTCTTTATTCTTTTATACTATATATGGCAACATACTAGCAAATAGGCACACCCATTTAACTATATAACTCTATACTAATACCGAAACAACATTTATAAAACAACTTCAATGTAAATCTAGACAACTCGGCCGTATAAATCTTAAGCCTATTTGTTTTTATTGTAATTAAGATGTGTGAATCTAACTACATATTTGATTGTTAAGGTGTTGTACTTAAATCCGAACAACGAATAATTAAGAATGATCATTTTCTCATCATTTAAATGTACTACCATTATTTGAACACTAATAAATATAAAACTACGAAAATAATACTCCCTCCGTTTCATATTAGATGAGGTAGTTTGACTCGGCACGGAATTTAAGAAAAAAGGATAAGACTTTTAAAACTTGTGGTCTTAAAAGCTTAAGGGGTAAAAAGTTTTGTGGGGCCATGATATTTGTGTGCCTATAAAAGCATCTCATTATGGGTAAATGGGTAAAATAAAATAGTTTAAAGTTAAATTATTTCTAAATTTAAAAATGTGTCATTTGTTTTGAAACGGTTTAAAAAGGAAAGTACCTCGTCTAATATGAAACGGATGGAGTATTAATTAAAATATTATAGAAAAGCTTAATCTACATGGTGTTGTAAAACTATTTGTTTGATGAAGATATAAAAACTAGTGGTGGTAACAACTAACAATAGTGGTCGTCTAGTGATGGTGACAATTATAAGGTGGTGGCTAGGGGTTGTTGGGGTTGGTGGAGGTGATGACATCCATATGGAGGTGATTATTATTGGTGTGTGGCAGCGAGAGGCTGATGGTAGATGTGGTTGGTAGTGGAGGCTGACGGTAAAGGAGGTTAGAAGGTGGTGGTAACCGACAGTGGAGGTGGCTGCTTTAGTGGCGGTGGTGGCTGGTAGTGTGGCTGGGAGCGGCAGTAGTTGTGCGGTGGAGATGGTGGTGGAGATATATGAATGAAGGTGGTTAGCGATGGTTGTTGTAAGGTAGAGAACGATAGTAGAGGTGACTGATAATAATTGACAGTATGGTTGTGCGTCGGAGGTTGGCGGAAATGATTGTGATAGGTAGGGCACAGTGGCAAAAAGTCACATTCACAGAAATCTTTAAGTCAATAACATCTGACTAATGTTAATATTATTTACCACATCTAAACGATCTAGACCTACTATGAGCAATTAAGCGGTTACAAATTAAAACAAGTAAATATACTTAATGGGGCCGAGACATGAATAATTAAGATTTATACCTTCAGAAAACAAACGGAGCCTTATTAATATTTTCTTAATTTTGGATGTGGTTTCCAAAGTGTAATGAAACTATATTGTAGTAATGGTAATTGGTCGCAAGTTTTATGTGTTAAATCACCAAATATAAAAGTTAACATGAATAGAGTTCATCAAATCCATGAAATTTTGAAGGTTCGGATCTAGTTTTATATTTTATACATATTTAATGAATTTTTTAAGACAAATATAAAGTTTAAAGACCAAAGTTATTGGGTTCTGTCGAACCTGTAATGTTAACACTGGCTCTCCCAGAACATGAAAGAAAAAGGAAATTAGTTTGGCCAAAAACAGTATATACCTTGAGAGATATGAAAACCATGTTGTCTCAAGAGTCTAAATTTCAAAGCTGTGGCATATAATGAATCTCCTGCGGATGCATTTAGATATATGCTCCTCAAAATTTGCATGATCTCTTCCTTGAAGTGATAACTCACTCCAAGCCTTTGTAAATTATCAATCAGCTCCAACTTCTCTAATTCTTCTTGTGATCCCTCAACCATTATCATTATGTTCTTCATTTCCTTCTTCAGCTCGTTAAACCGCTTCATATACTTCTCTCCCTATGTGGCATAGTTACTAATGATCGGCTCGAATATTCGTGTAAACTTTATGCAATTAAGTATTTAGTAACAAGAATAACAGTAAAAGAATGAGTGCTAAAAAAACGTAACTTACCACATAATCATTGTGTATGGACTGAAGATATTCAAAATCCCACAAGGTAGGTCCGTAATTCCCTGAACGTCTAGTGAGATTGTGATCTGAAGATGAAATAGTAGAATACTGATTAAGTGGTGGTTCAGGTTTCATGCCACCTGCCGCCAGTGGCGAGCCAAGAATTTCTCCAAAGATTTCAATTTTGAAAAAAGTGAAAAAAAATTCTAATAAAAGGTGTTCAATATGTATTATATACCTCTAATACATAATATTGTACCTATATATATAGTATAACTTTTCGACGTGACCACCTTTTTGATCATGTGGCTCCGCCCATGCCTGCAGCAGCGGCTGTAGAGAGGCAGGCTTCTGATACAAGTGATGGCTTTCCTCGGCTGAAAGAGGAAAAGTAGTTAGCCGGAGGTCTTTTCGAGGTGGCCATGAGCAGCATCCCTATTTTGGTAAATGATGCCATATTTGACTCAGATATTTTTAGCCACAATGAGAAATTGGCATAGAAATAGGCATCTACCTGATGAATGGGACATGTTTTACTATTCATTATCTTTATTTTCAGGGAATATGGACCACTCGATCGACAAGCACACAAGTATTGGCTCTAATTGCAAAAACTATTTTTGGAAAGTGTTACCTTTCCACATCCGTGAATGTCCTTGTTCTCGATTAAAAGAAGATGTTTATCGATACTAAGTGTCAAAACATGGAAAATATTAAGTATTAAAAGTACTCGCTCGGTTCTAATTTATATGACTCACTTTTCTTAGTATTAGTTTGTACAAAAAAAATGACATATTTTTATATTTAGAAATAATCTAACTTTAAATTTTTTTTATTTTATGCATTTTACTGTTACTGATAAGTTATTATAGTCACATAAATGTTATAAAATATTTTAAGACCATAAGTTTCAAATGTCTTATCGCCACACAAATATATGATATGTTTAAGACCACAAGTTTCAAAAATAACAAAAATTCTTAAATTTCATGCCGAGTCAAACTACATTTTATAAATTAAAATGGTAAAAACGTATCTGCGTTAAGTGTTTATACCCACTTTAGTTAAATTGACCATGTATAGAAGAAAAACTAAGGTCTACTAGCTAGGTGCCTTTTTAAAATAAAAAAAAAAATGAAAAGGAAGTGAAGTTATAATAGCATAACGTTAGAAAAATTGAGCTTGCTGTAACATTCCTCGTTTTTTTTATTACTTGCCGCTGGTCTTCTTAATTTTGAAGTTCTGTGTCATTCTATCTTCACTAATTTAATGCTTCCATGAGTTGTCAAAGCATTTGTCAGTTATATTCAGACACATCTAAATACATACTGACGAAACTTAAGATAGATAATTTACACTAAGTAATGGTGGTCATCTATGATGTGAAGCCGTAATTCTAGTCTCAAAAATGGGTGAGCCGAGGGAGGTTGGCGCAATAAAAAGAGATAATAGCAAAAGGGAGTGCAACAGGGGAAAACTTTGATATCGTCAGCAGATAAAAAGTTCCGTGTCCAAAATGGCCAGTGATGACCTTTGCGATGTGGTTAGTGTCAAAGAAATTTTAATCTACTTGATGCTAGGTTAAGAACATGATGGAGAATAACAAGAAATTTAGCATTTTTTATATTAATTATTATTTAAGATCATGTGCCAAACACATTACAGTTAACTATGAGTCTATGATTAAGTACTAATAGTTGTAATTAAATATAGCAACATGTGTCATTTTGGTTATTGGCCATGTGTAAACCCCGGTACAGATAAGTTTTTACCAATTAAAAAAAGGGAGAGTATCTCATTATGGTTTAAAAAAAAGAAAGCAACAAACTGATATCCAGAAAGTAAAAGTATGTTGTTGAATATTTATCGGGACGTCGCAGAAAATTGGATGGCCTAAGAGGTCCATTTAGTAAACTACTGAGAAGCAAAGTTACCAAACACAGTGATCTCACTCACCCGCTGAGAAAGCTTTGGAATAAATTCACACAACTACGACAATTGGCAAGAAATTTCATCATCATTTTTTGGGTCTTCTTCTAGATTTTAAGGAGCTAGACAATTACCGGGTAAAGCTTAAAATATTTATTGGTAGAATATTTTAAAATAAGACTTTACTAATATCTAAAACTTCAATTTATTTGAACTATTGAAGGTAGCTCGAGTTGGACTTTCAAAAACTATCTTCTATTTATATATAATAGGAGAGACAAAGAAATGTTAGGGTGGCAAGTGACATAATATTAAACGGACACATGTCAATTTTTTGGATAATTCTCCAACTTTGTTGGAGTTTCAAATTTATTTAATAAAAAATGAACGAGTGTTTTTTATTTAAGATTAATATTTATAAATTGCATATTTAGGAAAAAACACCTATTACATTACAAAAAATAATAAACGAGTGTTTTTTTTCATTTTCCCCCCTACTTCTTTGTTTAAAATCTATACTTGAATTCTATATTATTTAATTATATTAAATTAAAAGATAAGAAACTCCCATGATCCCACGACGTTGAAAACCTAAGCGCATAAAAAGGATAACAACGAAAACTGCTGAGAGATCAGTTTCTCTCTTTTCTTCTTGAGAGAAGTTTAAAACCCATCTTAATTCATCAAATGATGACCAGATTGAAGAACCATAGACTGTTCTACTATTTTCAATGATACGAATGGTAGGCGATTTGTACAAATAATGACCATATCGAAGAACCACCAACGCTGATGGCAGATTGCTAAAGAAGACGATCCAATCCGTGGTTGTAGGCACAAAATCTGAAGTTTGTCACATAGACAACAGGTCCTTTGTTCTCTTTTTTCAGATTTACTTATCTTCTTTTTTATTTATTGGCGAAATTTAGTATATCCAAATCAATTTGGTGGACGAAATTTGGTAAACCATTTTGACTTTTTGCCAAAAAAAAATTGAGTTAAATGATAATACAAAGCTTTTTAATGATTGAACGATTCAACATAAAAAATGATAGGATACGAATGAAGGAAGGTGTTAAGCAGAGAATCAAGGTGTTCCTCCTCGAACATCACTTCACAATCTATTCGTTTGCGTGTGCTGGCATTAATTGTAGAAAAAGCAATATCTATTGTTACATATGTTTTGATAAATATTATTTCATTGATATAGCTAAGTGATCGGGAAATTTTTACAAAGTACTCAGTATTTTCTTATTGAATGATGCTCTTCATCCGATTTTATGTGTTATCTACCGTGTATAAAATGCTCAACGGATTTTTTACCATTCAGTGATCATATATTTGTTGATTTGATCCTCACCTGAATCAGAAAGTTGCTAAACGCAAGTTAGTGGCCTCGAGAATTCTCCTGGACAAAGAAAAAATGGCCTTTGAATTGCTACTAGGTAGGCATTGCATTTGCTTCAGCATATATCCTGAGTAGCAGCTAAGCAGGTACTTTTTCAGTACACATACTCATATATTGGTGGTTATAGATAGATTTGGAGCATTCCTACTATGGTAATTCCATTGACTAACTGTGACTCTTTAATTTGCTACATAAATTATGCAAACTTTGTTGGTTTTTAGCATTTTCATTTTTGACTTGTGGCATATATGATTTATATACAAGATTTAGTACATGTGTGACAAGAGGGATACATTTAAGTAATGATTAACTGCTACTTATAGTCTCATCTGCCTTACCTTGAAGTTTGATGAATAATGGAATCGGACTTTCTATTTCAATATGCACATAAATTTAAACTTATGTATATAAATAAAGCATATGATATTGTTTCTCTAATCAACTTGATGAGCAAGAAATATATTATTTTTTAAACTCCGATTATTATTGATCTTGAAACTTTATGTGTCCTCCTTTCTTGCATCTTAATTGGCTCAATCATTCACCAAACTTTACCTCTAAGAATATATTTGAACTCTTTTGGATACTAACTAGAAAAAACATGAGATATAAGTTTACCTTTGTTGTATGCTTTCGACTTTTTAATATATTTATCGTATATTAATTTATCTATTTATGGTAATAATGAATTGACAGGTTCAACTTCTTAAATTAATACAGGAGCGATATGTTACACTAACATTGCGAATGCAAGAAGAGACTCATGTGAAAGTCGTGTAAACAAGGTAAGAGACAAAAGAAATTTAGAATCAATAGATTTTTAGCTTTATTTCATAAACTTCTTCGAATCTATGCTTTCCGTTATACAATACAAGTATTTATACGTGAAATTAAATGCACTACATTGGCAAGTACTACCATGAAGATCCGTGAAATATGATTTCAAACATTGCTCTTGAGCTTTCGTGTATAAAAGCTTTAAACATTAAACCCTCAATATTTTAATAGTTGGATTGCTGTTGGAAATAGAACAATTCTTAAGATGCAACTGATTGATTTAATTGCGAGGCAAAAAGAAGTATTTCATGCAATCCCAATAATGACTGACACTCTATGTTTAGGTAGGCAACATCCTTTAAATTCAGACTCGACTTCATATCCCATAAACTCAAAAGAGACCAATATTGTACAAGCAGAGGAAAACAAATAATATAAGATGTCTTCATTCTAAATAAGTGATTGATAATCTTTATGCGGAAAAAAAAAAGAAAGATGAGTTGAATCACTAAATTATGAAGTGGCTTGATAGTGCTATAGTAAATAAAGTTTTTTGGTCGAAAGATATAATTGAACAACCGTGGAAATATGTGAGAAAGAGGTTGAGGCATAAATGGTTATGAAATCACCGAATAGACAATGGTCTAGATTGAATTGTGTATGTGCAAGAAATTTATAATTTTAGTGTGTATCCATATGAAGAAAAGGTTTGCGTTCATGTGTTTTCTGTATTAGTTGTGTGTGAATATGAATATGATACTGAATTTGTGGAGTCTTTGAGGTCGCTCTATGACGTTCAAAGTAAGTTGCAAATTCAAACAACTAGAAGGAAAATTGGCAAGCAGTTTTATCCAAAAAAATATTAAACTAATAAGATGTCACTATATAAACCAACCAGTCAAACCTCATAGCAGTTGTAAACATGCATTCTGTGAAGATTTTTTTTCGGGATTGCACATGGCTGGTTTTTGAGGTACAAAAATGAAGATGAATTAGTGGCCGTAAGAGGTTCACCAAGATATGTTAGGTGGTCTAGGAAGCATCTCAAGTAAATTTCTCTCATTATTATTATCTACTGCTTTATTTTGAATAGGCCGTGAATGTAAAATTTAATTACTAGATTGTATCTTCTTGGTGTTGTAATTTGGCATATTTACCTCTAAAGTAACTTTATTGATTTTGCTTGGATCATTAAGTTTTTTTTTTTTTGGTAAAGTAAGATTAAACATCAAGTCTTTGTATTTAGAACTATAGCAACATAAAGAATAGGAAAAACTTGCGGTTAGTATGATCGGGGTTAAAACTTGCTTTTTTCAAAGTACATAAATAAGTGAAAATGCTTTTAGATTGCTTGTTGCCATTATTTTTAGCTTATAGTGTTTTAGGAGCTTCTCTATTTCGCATAAATATTTTTCAGAAGGTCAATTGATAAAAAGGAATAATTAGCATCAATTTATTTATTATAACAATTTTCTTCAAAATGACCAATATTGGTGAAGGCAAGTAAAGGTAAAGAAAGTAATATATCTAACTTTTATCCAATATTTTTATTTATTGGACCACCAACATGATCATGAACAATCTTTTTTTCCCATCTTTCTGAGCATTATAGAAGCAAAACTAAAAAGTATAAGTATACAAATTTATTCTCAACTCTACGCCTTTCCTACTTATATACAAGTCCAGTTATTATGTATTGTGGACAACTTTTCGAGATACTACAAGTAACTTTGTGAAGATTAATAACTATTTTTATTTAGTTATCGTGTGTAACTTTTTCCTTTCAAGACTCTTTTGTTTAAAACTGCTTTTGTTTTAATAATGTTTGTCTGTCCCGTTTATATCGAGTTATTTTCTTTGTTCAACGATAGAGACGCAGAAAACATAAAAATTAAAGTCGTCCTTCTCATTGTTGGCTTAGAGGCTGATTTTGAAGTTTAATTTGGACATAAGGTCGAGCAACGGAATCTTGAGGGAACAAATCCTTAACAAATGGTTATCGCCATGCCAAACAGTACAACATTAGAAGTGCAAAGCAAGGTTGATGTTGGAGGTTACATTGCTTCGGCTCAGCCAACCGGTGCCGATGATATCCGAGCACTTTTAATTGGAGATCTGCAATTTTGGATGAATGAATAATATCTCTATATATAGCTGATTTGCAAATATTGGAAATGTACTAAAGTTTCTGAAATAAATTGTTGTTGCTGAGTGTTTTAATATGTAAAACTATATCTTAGGGAGAAGAATAGATCTATTAAATTGTTGTGAGAATATTGTTTTCATATGCTTTGGATTGATCTTCTATTGAGGGTAATGCAGGTTTACCTGAGGTAAATGAATATTACTCATTGGTGTTTATATGCATCGATTAATTTTATATGATAAACTAAGTATCAGTAACATCCCTCTATATTATCTCGATTGACAACTTTGAAAAATTTGCCAAAATAATTTATCCGTTAAAATCTTTTATTTTCCATAAATTTTCTAAATTACAGTCCTTCCTTTGTACTCAAAACTGCACAGGCCAGCTAGCATGACTATTTTTGCAAGATTTTCTTCACAATATGAAGAATGCATGTAGCTTTAGGTTAATTTAATTTATATAAATGTAAATTTCATTGCTTCCAACATGCAAAGTAAAGTAGTTTAAAATGCAGTATAGTATAATTAGGGCTGCAAGAAACAGTTTCTTAGAAGCTCTAACAATAGAGCAGTGAAAATAACAATATTGGTAAGATAAGAATTTTGTGAAATTACTTCTATTTAATATTTTCCGCGCATCGGGTAGGTATACTAGTTGTATATAATGAATGCACTGCATTGTTAATTTATAAACGGCACTTTTGTAAGAAGAAGAAAACAGAAACACCCAATATTCAACCATAAATGTTTATATATATATACACGTATTTCCTCCGCATAGATAGTTCTGGACAAAAAGGTGGCCAAAGGGGAAAGTTGGCAAGATTCATTGTTGAGACAGTAGGTGTATTTACAGGTGTACCTACTTCCTTCGAAATCCATATCAACCAAAAACGCTGTGCATACAAGTCCATTATGAATATTTAAGTCTCCTGGCAGGTCTATCCGCCTCTTCGTCGACGGCGAAACAAAGACCTCATCTGCCCTGCAACACGCTTGATACTGGATCCTGTTGTTGGTCCTAAATTATCTACTTCACTACAATTCGCAGAGTTGACCACCTCTGAATCCTGGATATATAAGCTTGCAACTTCCTCACATGATGTTGAAGAAGGCGCAGTTACGTTTTTCCCTGTTCCAGAACTGGACACCTCCAAAACTTCAGGCACGGGCCTTGGCTTCTTTGCAGCCTGCTCTACTAATTGTGAAGACAATATCTTTTCATTTACTTTGTAATCATAGATATCAGTGGAGTTAACCTCCTTGTGGCACGAAGCAGAAATAGTGGCTGTAGTGGGTAGGTTATTCTCCAGACCATTCGGATCATGGTTTTCATCTTCCTCCTGAGAGTCCAAAACAATATAGCCTGCAAGTTCCTCTGCCGAAATTGGTGAGTCAAATTTTGCTGCATCAGGAGCGGAAACCTCCTCTACTTCAGCCTTAAGCTCTTCATCATCTAGTGAATATGGAGATCGACATCCATAACTTTGACAACCTGGAGTTATCTTTTTGCTAAGAAGACTCTCTCTTCCAGGAAACAGGGTTTCTGCTTTAGAACTGCTGGAAGCATGTGGTGCTGCAAAAATTTCAATGGGCTGGCTCCCTGCTTTGATGGCTGGTGATATAGACATTTGCTCCCCAATTGCATCTTCCTTTTAAAAAATAATAAGAAACAAGACAACTAAGTTAACCACTGGAGATGTGCTCGGATGCGAATATAAACTGGATAAGAGACAGGAACATTGTCAAGAATGTGATAACTTCAGGCCAAAAAGACAAGAAGAAGAAAAACCTGAACATCAGAGTTAAACAGGAAATATTTGGACAAATACAAATACACCACTTTAGTAAGGGGGCAAGATGAAACAAAAAATTGATTGCTTTGCCAAAGTAGTAGTTGCAAAGGCCCCTTTTCCTGCACCACACCAACCTTCATCACTCAACATGCAAAGAGAATGGTAAGATAACCAACATCTGCAAACGATGAGGGTTCTATAAATTAATGCCCTTGCCACTTTCTTAGTTTTGTCGTTCACACCCTTTTCACAGATATTTCCCTGGAAACAAGCAATCCCACAAAAGGGGAGCTGATGACTATCCATGCAACTATTTTGTGAAGGACTTCCATCCAGAATATTGGTTGTTATAAAAAGTCAAGCAAACTTAAGCACCAGAATGATAAAGATCGATTACCTCTATTGGTGACATGACATTCCTAAATGGATCCAGTAGTGCCTTTTGCTCATCATTGTCATAAGTGGGTGGCTTTGCAGAATCTGGTGCTTGCAACAAATCTCTAGAAACCACTTCTGATACTGCAGCACTCTTCAAACCCCTAATAAGGTTGGCTACAGGAGACATAGTAAGAAGTTCAGCCTCATGTGAGCTCAAGTCACCACCAGGACATGCTTCTCTGGCATTCCAAGTTTCCTGAGGAACATTCTTACAAATATTTTCCTCCTCTAAGCAATGTAAAGAATAGTTGTCATCAGAATCAGCTGAAGAAACCTTCTGAACTCTATTTTTTGTAATTTCACTGATCAATCGTCTAATATGGTCACGTTTGCAATCAACATCTTCAGTTGAGAACCAATCTCCTGCAAGCTGAAAAATGGAATATTACAAAAAGTGCCAGTAGGACATGAATAACTGAATAACTATTCAACACAAGAAACAATAGAATAAACCCAGCAGCAGTCAATGTAACTGTCAAAATAGTTTCCCATCGTCCCAATAATATTATTGTAGTCTTCATATCAAGCTAAGAATGTTAGATCCCCATAGAGTTCAGTAAAATCATGCAATAATTAACTGATATCATAACACCATGATTACATATAGCAAAATGCAAGTTACATTGAGCATATATGATCTCAAACATTGCATCTTTTAAGTGTTTGTGAAGAAATAGTTCAACTTCAGGATACTCATTCCTAGTCCAGTCAGACAAATTTACCAATGACTGAATTTAAGTCGCTCAGCTCTGCAGGACAGTCAAAATCTAAAAATGGAATGAAAGACAGGATTTACAATAGAGCCATGATTAATATGTCTTCAACTTATTTAATAGGTAAGCAATTTTTGAACCCCTTTGCCACAACAGTAGAAACTTCCCGGATTAATATGTATTCAACTTTAACTATGAACATGAAACCTAATGAAATAATGATTCACAGAGATGCGAGAGAGGCAACATGTTAACAGATGATAACTCGAGAAAAGAGGCATCTTGTAGCCACATAATGCAACACCCTGCATGTCTGTAGCATTAGGCAACAAGTAAAGCACAACAAGAAATAGAAGAATAAAAAAAGTTCTAGATAATGGGGAGAAAGACAAGCACAATGGATCATCATAACTTGTAGGCTACTAGGCTCCCCTTTATGTAATTTCACTAAACTACAGGACAGGTATATTAAGATTACCCTAAGATTTTTTCTGGAGCTTTATTACTCCATACACAATTTGATCCTACAGAAAAATGCCAAAATGCAGATATGTAAGTTCGTATAATTAAAGCTGCATGAAGCAGTTCAGCAGTATCAACTAAAATTGCAAAGTACCAAGGGCGTGTTTGGTACGAAGGAAAACATTTTCCGGAAAATGTTTTTAAATTTTCCAATGTTTGGTTGGCTTAAATGTTTTGGAAAACATTTTCCTCATGAAATCATTTTCCTCCAATTGGAGGAAAATGTTTTCCCTATCAAGAGAGGGAAAACATTTTCCAAAACTCTTTTTCAACCTTCCCACCCTATTCCCCATCCCCACCCAACCC